AAAAACATGATAGAAATAATTCTTCTTCTTTGCCTTTCGGCTGCTCCCTTTAGGGGTCGCCACAGCGGATCATCTGCCTCCATCTCATCCTATCCCCTGCCTCCTCTACTGTTACACCAACCATCTCCATATCCTCCTTCACTACATCCATGAATCTTCTCTGCGGTCTTCCTCTTCTCCTTCTGCCTGGCAGCTCCATCTCCAACATCCTTTGTCCAATATATCCACTATCCCTCCTCAACACGTCCAAACTATCTCAACCTGGCTTCTCTAGCTTTATCTCCAATCTGATCCACCTTCACTGTCCCTCTGATCTTCTCATTTCTAATCTTGTGAGAGAAGAAACACAAGTCCAATAAAACAGTATAATGATGGCGTCCTGATGCATCTCAGTAATCCAGATGGAAAAAATCAAAAAGAAAAAATAGGTAGGTCCTCTGGATGGGTTCYTCTTTAGTGAAACGTTTCGTCTCTCCTCCAAGAGACTTMTTCAGTCTGGTAAGTTTCAGGTGAACTCATCCTTATAAGCACTGCCTCCACATGGACAAACAGGTTAGTCACATGCAAAAGAGGGCCATCATCTAACAATAGGCTTGATTWGCTCTATTGTTCATAGAGGGTCATGTGCCCCATCACCTGACTTATTGGTTTGGATGCTTCAGCTGTGGTTCTTTGGTGTTGTKTTATCYGTGTGTAGTGTRGTATRATGATGGATTTTGTCWTTTCCTTCTTTAATTAGCCTAACTGCCATATTTGGTGGTCAAACGTTTTTACRGATGTTATTCTGTGGGTCAGAAGTTAAACAGTTTGGGAACTAAYGCAGAGTATGATACTGTATGATTTTAAGATTTAGAAGTGAAGCCYTTAGCCAGCATGGTTGCCTTGCTGCCAGAAGGTTGCAGGTTCAACGCTCAGCTAGGACGAGTTTGCATGTTCTCGCAGTGTTTGTGTTATTTCCACGGTTCAAAAACACGATGTTAGGTTAACTGGTGCGTCTAGCACAGACTAGAAGAAACTAGAACTATGACGTTTATAACAAAAGTTGTATYTGTTTCTGTTTCAGGTGACGGCTCAGGCAACATGCATCACTCTGTCTGCGATGAGTGTGGACCGCTGCTACGTGACCGTCTATCCTCTGCAGTCGCTCCGACACCGTACCCCTCGCATGGCTCTGGGGGTCTCTGTGTCCATCTGGATTGGTATGAAACAAATGCACATTTTAAAAGCCTGTCGTTTGAACCATGAATCTGATGGACATGATGCTGAGGGTCTTTCACGAGCCCCATCTTCTCCAGGCTCGTTGCTGTTATCCATCCCTGTAGCCGTGTACCAGCGTCTGGAGGCAGGGTTCTGGTTTGGGCCTCAGAYGTACTGCAGCGAGATCTTCCCATCYGAACAGCTCCAAAGAGCTTTCATYATCTACTGCTTCCTGGCYGTCTACCTGCTGCCTCTGCTCACCATCGTTGGTTGTTACGCCTTCATGCTGAAGCGCATGGGCCAGGTCAACGTGAACCCCACAGACTGCAGCTACCAAGTGAGAAGAAACCATGTCGCTTGCTCAGGTTTCTGGTTCTTTCCAAGACATAACMAGTTCTCCTTGGCTTTTAGCTGCAAGTTCAGGCAGGGCGAGCAGCGGCGGTGCGGGCCCGAGTCTCCAGAATGGTGGTGGTGATGGTGGTCCTGTTCCTCGTCTGCTGGGGGCCCATCCAAATCTGCATCCTGATGCAAGCGTTTGGCCTCCGGGGTTACATTTTATACAAGGTGATTGTTGCTACATGACAAGTTCTTCACAACATGTTGTTGAAATCTGCTTATATAGCTTTATAGACAGAGGTAACCAAAATTGATCCTCCTGTCATTTTCCATCTGCAGCTGAAGATCTGGGGTCACTGCATGTCCTAYTCCAACTCCTCCGTCAACCCGCTGGTTTATACGTTCATGGGCAACAACTTCAGGAAGGCCTTCAAACATGCCTTCCCCACCATGTTTCTGTGGTGCAGGAAGGGGAGAGTCCGCGTGGGAAACATGGACTTCAGGGAGGAAGAAGAGCTGGATCTGCAGGCACCCAGAAGAGAGGAAGGGATGCACTTTCTTTCATCTGCGTCCTAAAGGTCACGCTGGCCGTGTGGAAGCTGTTCATTGTTTATTTATGGTCGAGGCCGGAGATGAGAGGAGTTCAGTGGTAGAGGGCAGAGCTCTGACCCGAACATTCACACACCAAAAGATGTTCTACTGAGATCACGTGAAAAATTCTAAATGTTTTTATTTATTTATTGTAAAACCTTGACACCCAATAATCTGTGATAAAAACATGTTTGTATGTGTATATATATATATA